CCGTGCCTGTTTCGATCGGAAATATACACAGTGGCAGATAGACGCTCGCCGATCGGTTACAGGACTCGCTCGTCCCGTTATGTCTTCAGACTAATTCTCGGGTCCCGCTAGCAGCCAAATAGCGACTAATGATATAGGCAGGATGAGATTACCGACAAAGAGTAGGAAGACTGGAATGGCCATTTTTAATGCATCTACTTTCTTAGTTTTCCAGTAATTACTCGCGAGAGATGAAGGGGGAAAGTGTTGATTTTTCTGTCTTTGAGGAAAATAGCCTGCCGCATGTTATTCCCTCAAAAGTTTACTATGTGACTGCCTTTTGTACCCAGATTCCTGGTCTAAAAAAGCAGACCAGAATGGAAAATCCTCGACCGCACAACTCGACGTTACTGCCCTCACACACGAGGCCCTATCTACGCGCCTTCCTGATGTTTCCTCCAACAAAGCCACCAAAAAGATAACGTAAGTTTCCTTTGTCACTTTGGTATAGCAAAAGGTAGTCCGTATAGATTGTGAATATGTCTCTGATGGCCAGTGCGGCCACAGAAGCCAGTGGAGATTTTCTTATGTATTCGTGTGTTATGTACCCATCTGCTTGTATTGGCTTAGCGTAGAAAATCCAATTTTCTCGACTTGCGAAGAGTCAAGAACGTCAAACTCGTACATTGTCGGACTACTGCTACATTTTGAAAAGGTCCACACCTTTTGCCTACGGCTAGGACTACACTCACCCAGAGGTCATTTTAAGAACTAACAGTATCTCTTCACTTACTTCTGCCCTACAGGTTGTTGGTTCAGCTCCTGAGAACAAGGAATAGGGGCGACATCGCTGTATTTGCTCGTGTTTTATCACGCGTAGACTACCGTGAGCACTCTTTGAGCATTAATCCCTACTGACAGGTATTGAGAAACTTAATTTTCGCACTTATTAATTTGAGGCTCCATTTCTGTCGTCCCCTTGGAGCAACAGAGTATCAAATGTTCCCGTTAACTGCTGCTAACGGCGAGCCTTAGGAGTCAATGTGAAGATACATAACCCAAAAAATGTCTTCTGTTGCCAGTTGGGGGAATCCTGGGGCAGGGGGAACGATTAATTTTAAAAATCTTTCTGAGTGATTCTTAAAGTCACTATCCTAGACATGCATGATGCTGCAAATTAATTGGTGAAACCGACGCATCGGTACCGCCTTCTGTCTGTGCGATTGGCTGAGCCACCCTTGGTGTCACAGCCAAAAATCCCGAGGGTGGGCTGCGTTTTTCAGTCTGATTGCAGGTGGCTTTGTGGTGCGAAGGATTTTGATGCACTGGCTTGTCTACCGGATTTACACTTTCGATCGCTCTTCATGCTATCTTGTTTCTGTCTCAGCAAAATGAAAAATAAATTGTTCTGTATCTCCTGCATTTATAACACAGCCAGCGAGTGAGTTATTCTGCCATTTCTGTTGGAGTATTTGAGGTGACTGTCGTGCTGGGAAGCATAATGGATGTCGCTGTGTTAACCTTTTGAAAAAAGTTTATCTTAGTGGCGGAGTAGAATATACTATTGTAAGTGAGTGCTTGTGAAGCGAATAAGGCCGTTAGTGTGCTTGCGTAGCGACAAGGGAAGTGATTTCTTGACTTATGGCTGCGTATGTGTCCGAGAAGTGGGGGAATGTTGTTGGCCCAATAGGGAGTTTTTTTGCAGATCACAATTTCCTCCACCTTCTTACAATTCATCGAATACTTTTACTGAAGGTGTGACGTACTGCTTTCGCTATCGACTTATTCTTTGCTTTTCATCTCACTTGCCTATTC